AATTTTGTATGTCCATCTGATGGGTGAACTATGTTATCTACATTTTAAAAAATATATTTCTGATTTTTAACAAGAGTAAGCATCCTTTTATATGTTTATTGGCCATTTATACTTTCTCTTTACTTAATTTTTCATATTCTTGACCCATTTTTCCATTTGGATATTTTTGCCTATTTTATTGGCTTATATAAATTATTTATATATTCTGGATTTCAATCCTTGGCCTGTTAAATATCTTGCAAATAGCTTCCTCCAGGTCTAAAGAAGAAATTTCTACCCAGCAGAGGTGCACAGTGATTGCACGGAAGTGGAGCTGTTCAGAAGTTGCATAGCCACTTGTTGGGACGGAATGTGGTGTCTCCATCCACTGCTTGTACTTTTTAATTTCATATTAATATATCAGATAAGAGCTAATCCTGCTGTATTACGGTTGTTTATTTGCTGGCCTACTCCATTAAACAATGATCTCCTTGAGGGCAGGGGTGCAGGTCTGTGAGTCATCTCTGTATCACTGGTTCCCAGCATTGGGTCTAACACAGGGTAGGCACTTAGAAAACGTTCAGTGGATGAATAAGTGGACAGAGCATTAGATGGGTCTAGTTGCAGAATTCCTGTCAGGGTCCGCCCTGTGATTCAGGGAGGAGTTGCTTTGGGTCCTTGAATAGGGTGAAAGAAGAGGAGCAAGAGGACCCTTTGCTCCCAGTTAGAGGGCAGCGCCCTCTGGGTGGCTTGTCTTCTCTCCTTTGATTTACCTATTAGATACGCTGGTGTTCAGAGATAGCAATAATAATAGCCAACACTTATACAGTATCTTTACTGTGCTTTGTATACATCAATTCATCTAATTTTCTCAACATCCCTGTGAGGTAGGCATTATCATTATTATCTCCATTTTACAGATGAAGGAACCGAGGCAAGAGTGGTTAAGTAATTTGCCCAAGATCATACAGCTAGTGAATGGCAGAGCTGGGATATGAACCCAGCTGTTTGGCTTGCTGGTCTGTCCTCAAAAGTCAACACAGGAAAAACACTAGGCCTGGCACAAAGTAGGTACTAAACAAGCGTTCTTCTCTTCTTTTACCATCCCTCCCCCTGAAACGTGCCTTTTCTGTCAATGACATCTCAGACCTTTAGCTTAGCGGAATCCAGTCTTGGACTATGGTTCCTCCACAGCCTTTGTCTCTGAGCCATGCATCCATCCTTGCGGGAAGCCCCAACAATCCCTGTCCTCCTAGGAAGCTGGCAGATCCACTTCCTATGCAACCAGTCCAGGGATCAAGGATTTCCATTATCAGGGCCCATTTTTTCCCTGTTAGCCCCCCAATCCTAATTGGCACCTCCGGCCCCAAGGCTTTGCATGGTGCTGCCATCTGGTGGGTATAGATTACCACTGACAAGGCTCTCTGAAGAGCGAACTGTCATAGGCCAAGATTGGTTCACTGTTCCTCTTTAACCTTCAGGCCAGCATACCCCACGCAGAATGTAACTGGTTGGTGGCTGAACTGTATCAGTGACTGGCTTTTTCCAACTCTAGTGTCAAAGGTATTTCAAGTGAAGGCTTAATGTTGGTGGGATGACAGTGTGGCCGTACTTTTGGGTAAGAAGTTCTACTTAGCTTGCCCTCAAGTCACATGAAGAGGACAGCTGCCTACCCAGGGTAAAAGATGGGTGAAATCCAAAGGGTGTACTGGGCAGACCCCACCAAGGGTCTCCAGCCCCTTCTGTATACTCCTTGAGGTACTCACTTTCCTCTTGTGCAGGAGGGGAAGGAGACCCCAGATTCCAGTTCTCAGGATAAGTTTAAAGAACTACTTTCTCCTGTAGTCTCTGTGAAGTCTGCCCACATCCATTATCTGATGAACTCTTCACAATGAGCCCCTGCAGGAGGCAGGATTTATTTAAAGCAAAGGTGAGGAAACACTTAGGAGTTAGATAAATTACCTAACTTGAGAATCGGACACATCCTTATAGTTGAAGGATGATTTTTAGCAGCTTTCCAGGCTCAGAAAAGAGATCCCTGTTGAGACTATGAAACTCTGATGACATCCATGTGTCTGGAGTCAATGGGCAGGGTCCAGGGCAACGGGCCATTCATACGAAACCTCAGGAGCTCAATAATCGTTGGATTGAAATGGACAGTAATTGAATTGAGGACCAAAGATGTGAATCTCTACCCAGGTATTTTTCAGGGAGCTTGCACGGGGGCTAACTCCTTGCTGACCTGTGACTCTGCAAAATCTTTGTGGGCAAAGCCTTTCTGCCCCCTCCAACTTCCTTTGTTTGTAGCCAAGGGGTTGGAGGTGTTGAGCGGGAAGTTGAGGGTACTGGAGGTAACCAGTACATGGAGGAAAGCAGCCTTCCACTTTGAGTATCTTATTAACCTATGCAGATCACTGCACTACTGATGGTGAAGACAGACATTATGAATAGAAAGCCAATGTACTGGAGTCCAGCTAGCCAAGATGAGATGAGCCCCTGGCTGCCTATAGCTTTAGTTCCTGTTAGCTTCCATTAGAGGAGAGAGGACTGATATTGGTTGATAAGAGAATCTAAGTATTGCTAAACTGCAGGATCAAGTTCATGGAGCTGAGCTCAGGCCTGGAAAGGGAAGGACCATATCCTCGAAGTAAAGTTACATGCTCCTGAGCACCTACTGTGTGTCCTGTGCTGATTTAAACTCTTTCTAGTGCATTCTCCCAATTAATCTTCATGACCAGTATTTTAGAAAGGTATTATTTTTTGTTTTTTTTTTTTTGAGACAGAATCTCGCTCTGTTGCCCAAGCTAGAGTGTCGTGGCGTCAGCCTAGCTCACAGCAACCTCAAACTCCTGGACTCAAGTGATCCTTCTGCCTCAGCCTCCCAAGTAGCTGGGACTACAGGCATGCGCCACCATGCCCGGCTAATTTTTTCTATATATTTTTAGCTGGCCAATTAATTCCTTTCTATTTTTAGTAGAAACGGGGTCTCGCTCTTGCTCAGGCTGGTTTCGAACTCCTGAGCTCAAATGATCCCCCCGCCTCGGCCTCCCAGAGTGCTAGGATTACAGGCGTGAGCCACCAAGCCCAGCCTCAGTAAGGTATTGTTTACTTTTGGTACATAGGGGAAGTAGAGCCCCACGGGTATTTTGAAACTTGCCCAAGCTCGCGTAATAAACAGTGGATTTGGGATTAGAATCCTAGAGTCTGGTTGCATCTCCAGTGAATATTCTTCGAACTGGGCAACTCAACCCTGTGACTTTCAGAGAGGAGAGCCTGTTCTGCATTCTTCCTTGGCTGTATTCATCTCCTCCACAGTTACACATTATCTTAGAGGATCAGCTGGTACAAAATTTAAGGTCACATAATCTACTTTGTATTCTTCTTGAACCTTCCTTTGTATTTAATTTTTAGCTTCTGCCCCCCCCCCCATTAAGAATGTGAAAGATGAGTATTATCTCCTCTCTGTCTACCTGTAGTGGTTTAGGAAGATCCTGAGAAGAGCTGAACTTTCAGAGCTCCTTCTGGGAGAAGGTGCAGAAGAGAAGGAAAGATTACATTTTGTCATTAGCTGTACTCCAGACCATTGCTTGTAAGTTTGTCCAACCAGAAGAAAGTTCAGACCCTTCACTGGTGAGCTGAATTATACTTCCAGAAGAGAAGAAAGTGAGAGACACGTTTTACTCCCTCTTGGAGGCACCAGATTTCCCTACCTTGGTTTTTTTCAAAAATTGTGCATGTTCTCTCCTCTCATGTATGTGTCTCACACATACACACTATTCTCATGCCCCTCTGGTACCCCCAACCCATACCCACTGTTCTGCACTCCAGCCATGGGTCAAGAGAAATCTGCTAGGGTCCCTAGCTGATGTCTTTTTTCACAGCATCTTTTGGGAGTTTTTGTAAACAAAGCACCAGTTGAAGACCCCTTGGTGATGGGCCCATAAAGTGTCCCTTCTTTGGTTTTGTGCCCTCCCTCTTTTGTGGGACCAGTTCCTTGAATACAGAAGACATCACTCAAGGGAGCCATCCTGAGTATTCCCACGGCTGGCTGGAGTGCTGGCACACAACAAGGCGGCATGCAGCAGGCTGCCTCCTTGGCTCTTCAGGCCAGGCAAATGCAACCCAGAGGTAGAGAAGAGGAGGGAAATCTGTGTTTTAAAATGTCTTTGTTTAAAGGAATTCTGGGCAGGGGCTGAGAAGAGGGTGTTCAGCAGAAGGGGATAATATGAATAAACATTTGCACTAAGAACAAACAGTAGCATCATCCTCGGAGTCTGGCCTGCCCCTCTGCTCTCAGACATGGTTCTCTCCTGCCCTCCCCAAGTGCAACCACGAACACCATATACAGGGACTTGACAGTTCACAGAAACCTTATTTTCCACCAGGGGCATTTCCTTGCATGGTTTCCATATGCCCTAGGGTGACCCTAGTTCCATATGAATAACAGCTGAGCTTACAGGACATGGCCTTGTCTTGAGAGCTGCACAGACTTTAAAAGAAAAACCTAGATAGAGGCAAGAAACTGGTGGTGGCGGGGGAGTAGGGCGGGGAGCGAGTCCAGAGACATCTAATAGATCACCAGCGCTTCTTCTAGCAGATTCCCAGGAGTGCTGGCTCCTTTGAGCCAGGTTTGGAGACAGGTCTGGGGACACCCAAGAGGCCGGTGATTGAAGGCTGGCGTCAGAGTGGAGGCCAAAGTGAGGCCAAGGAAGGAGTGGACGCCCATAGAGCCTGGCCGCTTCCTGGCACCCAAGAAAAGTTTCCAGGAGTCAGCTGGTGCCAACGCTGAAGCCCGGGCAGATGAAGAGAGCTGAGTCCTGCGACCACTCTCCCCTACCCACCTCCTCCCCGCCCCAAAGGCCGGAGATTGCTGCACAGAAGCAAGAGCAAGAGCAAGAGACGGAATTCCCCTAGCGGAGGAATCTGCCGACCCAGGAGCTGGGATTGGCAGGGCGCCCTCTCCGGGAGCTTCGGGTCTGGGGCAGCCTGCGCGGGCGCGAGTGGCGACTCAGGCGCGTCCCATGGGGGCGGGAGCCAGGGGCGGCCAGCAGGTGGGGCCCGGGGGCCGGACTCCGCCCCCCACGCCCGCTCAGCACCGGCCCCCTCTCCCGAGCCGGAGCGCGATTGGTGGCGGCGCTTGTCGCTCGGAGGGGGCCGGGCCGCTCTGCTTCGCCACTGTACCCGCGCCGCTGCTGCCGCCGCCGTCCTCCCAGCTGCGCGGGCCGGTCGGACCGCCAAGGCAGCCGGAGCCTGGCGATGGGAAGCGGCGCGGCCGCCGACCCAGGCAGTGGCAAAGTTTCCCAGACGTGCGTATTGGGGCGCGCGGCTGCCGGCCACCCGTGACCTCTGTGGAAAGGGCTGAGGGATTTTTAATTTGGAAAAAAAATCCACCTCAGTTTCTTTGTCAACCCCTCTGTCCGGGTGGCCACCGGCAGGAGCTGCAAACTTGGGCGCAGCGGCTCCACAGCCAGCGAACAAGGCTTTGGAGAACCTCAGGACTCAGGTGCTGGGCGCCCAGCGGCTCCCGGCGTGCTACGGAGTGTGAGCGCGGGGGAGTCCGGAGCGCGCGGCAAGGAGGGGCCCCTGGGAGCTCTATATGGAGGAGGGAGCCCAGAATGGTGTGCACCAGGAAGACCAAAACTTTGGTGTCCACTTGCGTGATCCTGAGCGGTATGACTAACATCATATGCCTGCTCTACGTGGGCTGGGTCACCAACTACATCGCCAGCGTATACGTGCGGGGGCAGGAGCCGGCGCCTGACAAGAAGCTGGAGGAAGACAAAGGGGACACTCTGAAGATTATTGAGCGACTGGACCACTTGGAGAATGTCATTAAGCAGCACATCCAAGGTACGGGAGCCCCAGAAACTTGGGTCTCCCACGAGGCCCGGGAGTGCCCAGCGCGGCGCGGGGTGCGCTGGGGCTGTTGCGCATCAACCGAGCGACCGCGGGGCTCTGGGGCCGCAGACGCGGGACGGGGGTCTGCGTGTATTCTCTTGCCTGCGTGCGGGACCCCAGGGCACACGTGTGTGCGCGGGGCTGCACGCGCGGGTGTGAGCAGCTAGCTGGCGGTATGGGGGCGCGCTGCGCACGTGTCCAAATGTGCGTGTGACTCCGAGCTGGTTGCTGGTGGGCTCTGGGGATCGCACACAAGTCCGGCTCAGAGTGTGTGCGCGTATGAATGTTTGTGTGTGTACAAGAGAGAGCACGCGGGCAAACGAGCTCATTTGGCTACTGTAAGCGACAGGCGAGATTTCCGCGTGGCGGCCCTGGCCGTTGGCATTTAAGACCCGCAGGCTGCTGGACAAGCCGGGGCTAGGAAGATTGCACCGCCCCAGCCCCAGCCCCAGCCTGGCTGTGCTCCGTCCGTAGGCGATTGGGGATGCAGGGGGCTGGAGGGCTGCTTAAATCTATAGCGGTCCTTACTCCCACAACAGACCGCGGGTCGAGGACCCTCTCCAGAAGCAGGTGTCAACGCCGGAAAGAAGCGCTGTAGTCTGAGCTCTGTCCACTGCGGTGGCGCCTCCGCCCAAGACCGGAGAACACGCCCTGGGCTGCGCTTTCCTGGCGGAGCCGCCCGGGACCGGCGAAGGCCGATCCCACCGGTAGCTCCACGCCCAGGCCCCGGGAGTGGCTGAGGCGGAGCAGGCAGACCCACGTTGTGAGGGTCTGAAGTCTAAGGCTGCCGGGTGGGTGTGCTCCAGGCCAGGGCGGGGGTCCTAAGAGAAAGGGAGTCTGGGGGGTGCGGGCGCTGTCCTGAGGCGACCCAGTGCATGAGCTGTCTGAGGGAGGGGATGGAGTTCCAGGCGCCAGGGGCACTGAAGCCGAGTGTACACACACGCGCCTCTCATGTTCACACTTTTTCTTCGCCGCCCCGCCCCCACTGCTTTCTAGCAGGCTTGTGAGCTTCTTAAGGGCAGGGCCAAGCCTAGTTCACCTGTAAACCCAGCAGGCGCACCAGCCTCTGGGGCCAGCACATGACAGACCTTGGCAAAATGGAGTTGCATTGAAGGCTTTCTCCCCAAGGAGCACTCTTTTTCGTTTACACGTGGGTGTCTGGATTCCACCCCTTGCACCTGCTGCCCTTGCCAGGGTAGGGATCGCTCCTCTGTCTGAATTTGGTGTGTTTCGCCCCTGCCCAGAATAGTTCCTCCCCAGGGGGCAATTCAGGGAGGTTCAGGTGAGTGCAGGAGAGGTGTTCATATCCGTTGTGCTTCCTGACTAATGATTTACAAACAATCCCATGGCTTTGACATCTCCCCAGAAAAGGGGACCAGGGACAGCTTCTACTTCAGTCAGCCCTGCCTCTGCCTCTCAACCTGGCATTGGGATTGGAGACCAGTTTATCTATCCGATGAGTGCCTGTTGCTGCTATTTCTTGCCTTTTCCCGTCCCATGCATCTGGATTGACAACTATTTGCCCCTGGGGTGATTCAGAATGTTCTCTGGCAGACACAAGGCCATGCCTTACTTTGACATCTCCAGTCTGCCCACAGATTTCGAAAGATTTTCATTCACAGATTCTATGTGTGTGTGTGTCTATATATGTTCCTGGAAAATGATTCTCTTGTGCCTTTCTGTCTGGCCAGGCAGGAAGTGGGCAAAGTACGGCTTTGAGAAACATCGATAGGATGTTATTAACCTCTGAGCTTGTCACAAAGTGGGCCCCTACCGTGTGGAATGTAGACCGTATCACATGACTTGTAAGGCTCTACACGAAAATGAGCGCAATGTTGAAGGTAAAAAGAACCTTCGTGATTTTCTCCCCGGAAACTTTATAAGTATGTGTTGCTGAGAGCTTTCAAATATATATCTGAAAAATTGGGGGAGATGGGTAAAAAAAAAAAAAAAAAAGAAGCAGGATCTTTAAAACATGTGTTGGTCCACTTCTCTATTTGTGCGATGACCCCTGTGGATATTCAGAAATAACCACACTCTCAGGACACAAAGACCGAATCCACAACCCGTAGCGGGGTGGGGAAGGTCGGTGACTGGGGAAAGACTAGGATGGAGGCAGGCAGAGGGCCCGGGTTACTTGGCTGGTTGTGCTGTGAGGACTGACAGGCTCTTCCTGTGGAGCTGGAGCCATCCTCCAGCAGGGATTTTGGGAACACAGGTAAGGGGCCTGCAAGGTTTGGGACTGATCAAGTGCCACTGTCTGAAGGCAGAGGGTGGAAAAGGACAAGAAGATCAGACTCTTACAGTTGATGGTGCAGATGGTTTATATGTATGCTACTGTCAGGTTCCCTCTAGCCAGCAGAGCCTTTGGAACAATCCAGTTTACTTTGCCGAGCTGATGGGAATAAGGGATAATAATAATAAGAGCTAAAAATTATGCAGCACATATTGTGTGCAGGCTTTATTCTAAATGCTTTATATATAAAGCATTTATATATATAAAATAAATATATTGACTTATTTAATTCTCACAACCTTATGAGGTAGAGGTAATACTTTGCTCCACTTTATGTTTGTGAGAATCGAGGAATGGAGAGGATCTATGACTTGTCCAGGGTCACACCACTAGTACGTGGTAGTACGGGGGTGTGAACTCAGCTAGTGTGGCTTTAGAGTCTAAGTGCTTACCCACATACTATGCTGTCTCCTAAAAGGGCCAGAGTGTCACAGGGGGACCAGTGCTTCCCTGGAGTCAGTAGATGTGGAAGTGGGTGTCAGAGCGAGAGACCTCCGAGGATGGCTGAGGGGTGATGGAGTCAACAGCCTTCCCACTTGGAGACTCTATCTGTAGATAAACTCAGGAAGCTCTGGGTTTTGTTTGGTTTCGCGCCAAGAGGCAGAGGTTGCATTCCCTTAACTAATGTTTGTTGAGCACCCAGGACAGTTCCTGGCACATGCTACAGAGGGTAGGTGTTGGACGGAAGAGTGGCCGAATGAGTGAGTGCTGATGTCCCAGTGCACCGAATAGTCATTAGTGGGAACATTATCATTCTCCAAAGAATATGTTTTGCTTGCTCAGGCTCCTCTTTTCCTTGGAAGAAAAGTTGTCCTGGAAGCTGAAAATGTCACAAAATGTTCTTCAGGATGTTCCATAGGACTTGCAATTAGAAGAGGCTTTGGAGCGTCACCCCAGAGGTCTGTTCTAGTCATGACTGAAAAGTTTATTTTCCTCTTGTGGATTGCAGTGATATTTCATTTTAATTTGCTTTCTGATTGAATGATTTAATTAGATGGCTTTTGGGAATCTCTTGGGAATGTATATTGCAGTTGTGAGACTTTTTTTTAACCAAATAAATGTTAAATGAGAGGGTGGATAACTTTAGATTTTTATAAAAGCATCCTGATGGTTTAGAGACACAAAATAAGTGTTAGTACAAGTTTGGTCTTAGGAGGAGAAAGTTCGGATGGCTTGAGATGGTGCGGTGGATGAAGTAGAGAGTCTGCTAAAGGAGCCCGCAGCATTGGAGAGCCTAGGAAATGGAAATGTTGATTCACTTTTTATTTTAGAAGTTCAGTAAAAACAAAAATGGCTTTTTTGTTTAGTATCTCGTATTCAATGTAAAAGAATGTGCCAATGTTTAAGAAAATATTTAAAAATGTATAAAATTGCCCATAATTCATTCTACCCCCAAAACTTTTTGCATTTTGAGCATTTCCTTCCAGCGTTGTTCATTTGTCTACATATTGAAAGATGAAGGTGTGGTCATGACTTCCATGTCATTTTATATTCCTTTTTCACTTTGCTTTTTGTTACAAGCATTTATTTCGTATTTGCTACCTAGTTTATTGGTTCTACATTCATCTGACCTAATGTGTGTCAGGCACTGACTGCACTGGGGAAGTGATTGGGGATGACAGTGGTGAGCTGAGAACACTCTTGTCCCTGTCATAGTGGACTTGTTTTCAAAGGACAACAGAATCCCTCTTACTCAACATGTTTGGAGTGTGAGATAATTAAAAAATTGGTTAAAGAGAAGAGTAAAACAAAATATTACATACATGCATTAAATATTTTTATTTTAATGTTATCCCAAATGTGCATCCATTTGCCAGTCTTTTGATGTCGGGCCAAAATCTTGTCTTTGGGATGGGTCTGCCAATTGGCGTTCTGCTCATCTTCCTCGCATAAGCCATTCCCATGGTGTCCTGTTTACAAAGTCTGACTTCTAGTTCTGTTGTCTTTAAAATTCACTGGGAACTTAAAGGTGCCTCTGAAGCAATCTCAGTGTAGTAGCCTAAGTTTTTATGATTTTTAATTCGATCTTTTGCAGTGATTTTGCTGACATGTAATTTGACTGCTGTTCTTCAAGTGACTACTCTTTATAAAGCCTTTGCAAAACATTTAAATTAGTTTTCTTAGAAACAACAACTTTCATCTTTTTAGCAGTTATATTTCATTGGCTTTTATAAAATGTAATTAGATTATGTGGTTACAGTGATAAGGACAAATAGTGTAAACATGTTTGGGAACAAACCTGGTACCTGGCTGATAAGCATACAACTCAATTGTTGGAAGTTGCTGTGGGCAGTGATATTAAAGAGAATTCCCCTTGAGGGACAAAGGCATCATGGGGTCTATTTTCCAGAGGGAAAGGGAAGCATGGTTAATCTGGAGAGTTGATGGAGTGGAGAGTTTTTAAAGAGAACTTTAAAAACAGTATTTTTAATGACTGCATAGTATTCTGTCATCAATAAACCACTATTGATTCAACTACTTCCCTGTTATGGGATGTTTGTTTTGCTATTACAATATAAGCAGAAATGAACATCTTCACCTCATTGGATTTTTCTTTTTAATTATTTTAAGGATGTATTTCCAGAAGTGGGATTACTAATGACTCAAAGAGTATGAACATTTTTAGGAAAGATTGTTTTTTCAGAAGCTGTTCTTC